ACTAGAAGTCCCTTTTCTGACTAATTGCTAAAGACACCTGTTTTCTTGCAATTAGTGACCTTTGCTCTAATCTCCTCTGGAACATATTTCATGATAGCTGCCTAGCCACCCATTGACGTTAGAACCTACTCCCCCACTTACGGTCTCTGTTGACTGGCCCGCAGGTAGGTCCAAGACCGTAAAAATTCCTTTGTTCAGACCTAATGCTTGGTGCCCCTACTATAAAAAGATGGGTTCAGAAACCGGCCTTTTGCCACAGCCTAACAAACACCATCTCTGGCTGTGGTCTCAGCTAGCTGATAAGCTTCTGTGCCCAGAGGTGGTTTTTTATTTTTAAGTTTGTTCCTGATATTCCTGGAATCTGGTTTCTGGAATAAAGTTTGCTTCTGGTTTATTAGACTTGGTGGTGTTCTCATCTTTGCGCAACCCCCCTGAACCCAACACCTTACAGGGGGGAGCCTGCCAAGGTATGCTCCTAAGGGAACAGAGGCAGTGCAGGGGGTCTATTGTGAAGGGGGAGAGTAAAAGAGAAAAAGGTTTGCTTGGAGTGGGAACACGAGAAAGGCAGACAGACTGACATACATACATACAGACAGACAGACAGACCAGGCAAGAGAGACAAGAGCTGTGACTGACGACATTTTAAAGTGGCATGTTGCTTAACTGAGAGTGGAAAAGCACCTAGCGGCAGGTGGTGAGGTAACCACCTCAGTGGCCTAGGCAGGCTGGTCACAGCAGTGGGAACTAACAGGGGTTGTATTATATACTCCATCATCAGGGGAAACCAGGACAGAAATCAAGGCAGGAATGTGGAGGCAGGAACTGAAGCAGAGACCGTGGGGAATGATGTTTACTGGCTTGCTCCCCATGGCCTGCTCAGTTTATTTTCCCTGTACAACCAAGAACCACCTGCTTAGAGGTGGCACCAGCCACATTGGCCATTAATCAAGAAATCGCCCCCACAGCCTTGCTAACAAGCCAACCTGCCTGAGGCAGCTCCTCAGTGGAGGTTCTGTCTTCCAGGTGACTCCAGTTTGTATCTAACTGACAAAAGCTAACCAGCTGTATGGCCATGGCTTTGGGTTGGAGTTCTAAAACTGTTCTGGTTTTCATTTATGACTCAGCCGAGCATTGCTAAATAGAGTAGCTAAAGTGTTTCCTTTAACAGAGACAGTTAGAATAATCCAGGCAATGTTGGCCCAGAGCAGGGCAGGACATACAGGAGGCAAGTCGTGTTAGTCTGTCCTGAGCAGAGGACCTGACAGAGATCCTGGAGAATGCTGACTCCTCCCACCGCAGCCGCGAGCACCCAGGAAGGTTGCCCGTGTGAACAGCGCAGGAAGAACCCAGAGGAAATCCAAGGCTTGAATACATGATCCTAACAGGTTTGGGTTGTGATCTGGGGTACACAAGGAAATTAAGATCCATGAGCAACTGGTTGCTCTTCGGAAGCGGGAGAAATTTCGTAATGGTTGCCTTCACCATTGTTTTCTAGGAACTAGACGGAACAAAGAAGAGCTAGACTGACAGCAGTCACTCAGGTCAGCCAGCAGAGGGCGACGTTCGGCTACTTTTGTGGTGCCGAGTATCTTGCCTGTCTGGTGTTTGGTCCACTTTACCAGTTCCCTTGTTTTTGCCTTGTCTCCCCACAGTCACGAGATGACTTCTCCAATTACTGCTGACCTTCTGAGAAAGCATTATATACTGCCACTGCGCAGAGGGCTGCCAGGGCTGTTTTGCTCACGTCTGCGTTTTCTCTCATTTATAACTGAGGCACTATTGATACGTTGGAGAGTAAGTTCCATTTGCAAAAGAAGCCAGCCAGTCTGAGCAGGTCACTTTGGAAAACTTAGTATCATCTTCCTTCCAGAGAAGAGATTTTTCGCTTTGTTTTGTTTTGGGTTTTGTTTGTTTGTTTTGTTTTTTTCAAGACAGAGAAGAGTTTTAAAATCCCAGACGAGATCCCAGAGCGGTTGCAGGTCTAACTGGTTTGTAAGAGGTGAGCACGCTGGCACACTGGTTTGTTACATTTTTATTATTATTATTGTTCATGATTTACAAACCTTAATTCTAAAATTATTTGAGGCCACTTATAATAGAAAGCATGCACATAATAGAACTCTGAATGGTTAATACATGAATAAGAGATTCCGTGAATAACAGAGGAAAACGACCATTGGATAGAAAACTCAACCCTGGATCAAGACCAGGGCAGAGAGTTAAAGAGACCCTTGTGGGGAAAACACAATAATTTATCAGCTGCCACATCACGTGAGCCTGAGAGGCACTTGGCACCAGCTGCCCCCCTTTGGGAAGGATAAGTGTTGGGACAGAAAAGATTGCCCTCTGATACACACTTTTCATACTTTTTCCGTTGTCACAAAAGCTCTTTGAAGCCAATACTGTCTGTAGTCACGTTTTATAATACAAAGTGAGGGTCTATGAAACTGAGCAATTCACTGGTTAGTGGGCTGCAGGCATGAGATTCAAGTCAGCCCTGCAGCTCTGAGCATGGCATCGCGGTTTCAGTGAGGCCGCCCTGAGGATGGTGGGGTGGGGGTGGGGATTAACAAAAAGGGAGAACTCCCCCTTAAATGAGAACTGGTTGTAATTTTTTTTTTTTTTAAATTCACACATCCTTGCTTTACTTGAAGTTGAAGTCAGTGCCCGAGCTTGTGGCTGTGATATTAGTCTCAGCTGTCACCTTGATCGGATCTGGTCTTAGCAAAGAAACAAGCTCTGGGCGGGTCTCTCAGAGTGTTTCCTAGAAGGTCTAACTGGCCTGTGAAGCCCCTCCCCTGGAGTGGGCAGCATCTCCTAGCTGCTGGTACACGCGAGAGTTCTGACTTGGGAAGAGGCAGCAAGCTTTGAGGACAGCTGCCCTGTGGCATAGCCCCCAGCCCCTCGCACTTCTCACCCTTAGGACTGCACCCCAGATGTTTAACTTCAGGTTTTCCTTTCTTCTCCAAAGCGGTTTGGATCCCTGGACCAATTGCGAGCACCCGACTCTCATCAAACTACCTTGAATCGGCATTTCGTAGTCTCTGTACACCTGAACGATCTCTTTCCTAAGACCGTCCAGATTGAGAAGTTAATTTGTAGCCCTGAAAGAACTAAGGAAATCTTGGCTTAACTCCTACACACACTGTGTTAATAATTCCAATTTCATCAAAATGCCATGTGTCTGCCAAAATGAACCAAAAAATCAAACAAATTCTAGCCATTATATAGAATTCCCAGGAAAAAGCAAAACGTTATAAAACAGTGGAAGTTCAGGCCGGAGAGGTAGCTCAGCAGTTAAGAGTACATCTGCTCTTCCAGAGGACCCAAGTCCGGTTCTCAGCACCCACTAGGTGCTCACAGCCCCCTGTAATCACAGCTCCAAGGATCATACTCCTCTGGTCTCTTCAGGCGCCTGCATTCATGGCACACAACCACACACATGAACACATTAAATATGTATTAACTGTAGAAGTCAGAACCTAAGAAAAAGCCATTCATGGCCATAGGGGGGCAGCAAAGTGTAAACTATGAGCTGCTCTCCCTCAGCCATGGAAGCACCATTCTGTTCCGGCCTGGGTTTTGAGGGGACGTCATGTTCTCTGTGACATGCCGGCCTAATCAGTGCCTACCATTGTACATTTCCTCATCTGAGATCTTGGAATGCTCCGAGCAGCGGACAAAATATATGGAAAACTGGGGACAAAGACATGCGTGAGTCGGGAGTCTGTAGTCTGGCAAAGGGAGGTGAAGACCCTTAGCAGTGTTAAGGAATCCCCACGTTTTTATTTGGGCAAACATCTACAGCAGTAGGAAACGGAGACACCGGGCCTCGTGACTAGCAAAATGTCCCAACAGGTAAAGGTGCGTGCTGCCAAAGCTGGTTCAACCCCCAGAACCCAAATGGTAGAAGTCGAGAAAGAACCAACTCATGTAAATTGTCCTCTGACCTCCACACGCGTGTTGGTGGCATGCACGTGTGCAGAGTGAGCACCACACACATACACACACATGCATACACACACATACACACACACGTGTGCACACACGCGCTCCACAGTTTTGAGGGCTTCTGTCTTGTTCCATCCTTGGTCATGGTTGTTCTGCCCCCACAGTGTAAGAAAGAGCTCACCACCTGCACCATACACACGCTCCTCCCTCCGGGAACTTGTAGAGTTATTGTTTGGACCATATGACATCAAGGCCTGCCTGAGTGTTTGTGCCCATATTTTAGCTATTTATTTGTCATTTGTTTGTTTGTTTTCTGAGACAGGGTTACTCTGTGTAGCCCTGGCGGTCCTGGAACTTGCTTTGTAGACCAGGCTGGCCTCGAACTCATAGAGATTTGCCTGCCTCTGCCTCCCGAGCGTTGGTATTAAAGGCATGCGCCACCACTGTCCGGCTGTTCCCATATCCCTGCCTAGGCCCTCAATGTCAGAAACCCTCCTGCCATCACCCAAGCACCCTGGATCTAGGTGTAGGGTATAATTCTAAGAGGTCTCTGTCCCCAAGTACTTGAAGCTCTGATCATCCTGAGGACTTAAGGGAGGAATGAAAGTCAACAGCTTATCAGGATCTGTGTATAAACCGTTAACTATAATTTTACCTCATAAAAATACTTGTGTCTTCTTTCGAATCGGGATCTCACTACGTAATTTAGGTTATTCTCAAACACAATTCTCTTGCCTCGTTCTCCTAAGAGCTGGCACACAGGCATTCACTGTTGTGTGCCAGGCAAGATCATCTTTTCGTTAGTGACAAGCAGGAAACAGAGAGCAAAGTTTTAGGGACGAGCTGACCCAGACGGCAATGGGCAGAAGGGACAGAACCTGGCTGGTCCTTGTAGACTGCCCCCCAAAGCTCAACCCTTGCATGCCTCCAACCACCTGCCCCATCCTGTTGTACCCCCAACCTACAGAATCCCCAGAGGCCTCTGACGCCACAGGCCCTCCCCACTTCCCTGGACCACCTTCTCAACCACACAGTCCTTGGAAACAGGATGGTATACTTGCGTTTTATTTTCATTTCTTACAAGAACATGACACTCTCAAACAGAAAAACGGGGATTGTATACACCGCTGATAAAGGAACCCAGCTCCCTTGGTTAACAATAAATAAATATTAAAACAGTGGGGTGTCCCCCTCCCCCACAGCCCTCAGTGGTTCCCAAGGCTTGCAGAGGTAGAGTCAGGTGGGGAGGAGGCACAGCCAGGCAACAGCTCCAGCTGAGTTTCTCCAGTGGAGGCCAACAAGCCACAATAAATAACAACAGCGACAATATTAGCTGAGACAATCAGCACAACACAATGTAACAATATATTATACTTAAATACTGTTCTTCTGGAGAAGCTTCAAGTGCAGAGAGAACAATGTTGGCAACCTGGATCTCCACTGCCAGTTTGGTCTCTGGTGCGGGAAGTCCCAACTTAGACCGTTTGTTCAGTCAGTAAGACCCAGAGGTGGTAGTCAGGTTGGTTTTCCCCAGCTCCCACCCTTCCAAGCAGTCCCTGATACTCCCTGGCCACCCTTCCAGCTTCCCTTCCAGAGCTATCTTGGTCCCTGACCTACCTCTCCCGTAACTACAGTGGGCATCTCCTGTCGACAGGAAAGAAACACAGGCTCCCCTTCCACCAGAGGGCACATCTCTTGTTCCCAGGCTGATAGCCACAAAGAGAACTGATTTGATTTCAGTGAGACTTTTAGGCTCCTCCCACGGATGAATTTTCTATGGCCCTTTCTCCCTCACTCAGTTGCTGGACCTAAGTGCTAACCCCGTGTCTGAAGGCTCTTCCACCCACTTCCCTCCTCTCCGACCTCATCTCCCAAGGCCTCAGTAAGGCCTCCCAGTTAGCCCTGTTCACAGGTGGACCCTGCTGCCACCGAGAGCACCTAGTCTAGGGTCACATGAGCAAAGTGGCTTCTTTTCCAGGGCTCGTTACTGACCCAGAAAGGGGCTCACAGGCCAGTTTTTTTGAGGTATAAAAATCTCATTTGGGGCAAGAATCATCCTGACTCATTGACTCCCATGAGACTGCAAGAATGAACACAGGAATGTTAAGAAGCCTAAGCTAGGGGGCCCTGGGTATCTCTGGGAAGGCAAGCACAAAAGAGGGAGGTTCCCCATTCATATTCTCTCCAGCTCCTGCTCTCAAAGTTCCCAACCGGCCCAGCATGCCTCTGGGCCCTGATGGGAAGAACAAACTGCTGTTCCACCTTCCCACACAGCCCGCTTGTCAGCCCTCAGCCACAGGTCCTGAAAGTGAGGAGCCTCTCCCACACTGAGCCCACCGCAGTATCTGGGGAGAGGGAGTATTTCACGCCCAGGACGCAGGAAGGCGCGTCCCTTCACTGTCCTCTGGCACTTGTCGGGCAGAACCGGCCTCCCATACAGGGCAGCTGCTTCAGGGACGGCTGACTCCACCTCTCTTCCTGCTGGTTTCTTTGCTGCTGTGGAGGCTCAAGTGTGTGAAGGCTCAGCTGGGCTGCTGCTGGATACAGAGGTGGAGGAGGCGGCTGAGGTTTGGGCGGCCAGGTCCCGGTAAGCAGGTGACTTGAGGAAGCGCGGATAGGAGTCCTTCTCCATCAGGGTGCGAGTCTTCCCCTGAGCCACGGCGAAGCAACTGGCAGTGGGGGCCTGAAGATTTATCCTTGTCAGCTCGCGGGTCTCATGGTCTATGTTCACCTGTGGGAAGCAAGGCACGCACAACGTGAGCGAGCGGTGAGCGGTGAGGGAGCAGTGAGCGAGCGGTTCGGAGGGGCGGGGCCGAGAGGCCAACCGGCAAGAATCATGGAAAGAATACCAGACACTAAATAAAGAGGGAGTCTCCCTTCTTAAATCTTTTTAAAAATTTATTTTTATGTATTTGTGCCTGCTTAAGTGTGTGTACACACGTGTGCAGAAGCCTCTGGAGACCTGAAGAGAGGGTTGGATCCCCAGAACTGGAGTTAAAGGAGTTGTGAGCTGCCATGCTCGTGATGGGATATAGGAGTTCTGGAGGTCTAGTGTGGGGTGGCCTACATCCTCTATAAGAGCAGCAAGGGCTCTTAACCACGGAGCCATCTCTCTAACCCCACCAGTTTCGGGACAGTTCATATCAGACCCAGGGGTTGGTCCTCTGAGCTCTCAGGATTAGCATGAGGTTGTGTCACGCAAAAGCCAGAAGCCAGGTGTTCTCTCCTGCCAGAGTCCTGCTCCAAGCCACCTCCCCCACCCCCGCGCTGATTTATGCAGTAATTCCTACCTGCTTTTTCCTCCCCTCTGCTAACCTCGCAGCTGCTATACTGAGCCCACTCAGTCAGGGAACACCACAGCTTCCTCCCCGTGTCATTAAAAAAAAAAAGCTAGGCTGAGCACATCTGGCCACCAGCTATATGCATGACCTCATGTCCTACTTCCTGTCTCCCTGCTCTTCCCTGTGGCAGAATGTCCTTCCCTCTCTTGATCCTTACACCCCCTGCTTTGTGTGCTGTTTCAGCCACTTCCTAACTCCCATCGTGTGCACTGTCCATACCCAACCCGGCTTACTGAATTGGTTAACTGACATCTTCTCTCATTAGAATATAATTCCATTAGAAATTTGTTCTGCTCATTGCTATATCCTCTGAGATCATAGAAGAGCCTTGCATATAAGCGATACTTGAGAAATCTCTATAGCTTGATGGGAAATATAGAAGCAGCCAGAAAACAAGATACAAAAACTTGGCATTGCTCAGGTATGCCCACCAGGTGGCGCCACTGCTACTGTGCCGATACCTCCAGGAGGGAAGGCTGAATTGCTTTTGAAAAAAAAAAAAAAAAAAACTGTCCCCAAAGTGGAGAGGGAGGTAAGCCAGAGTGTTGCCCAAAGTTCTTGTTCCTCCAATTGATGTGCTGAGGTTCCCAAAAATAACTAATTTACAAATATAGGTATATAGAGAAGGCAAAAACATGCTGTCTTGTCCTGTGCCACTATGAGTCACAGAGCTAGTGTCTGGTCATTGAGGTCCTACCCTACCCCTCTGTAACCAAGAGGGCTGCTGTATTGCAAAACCTAACCCTTCCCTCACTGGCCCTGATTCTCAGTTGGGAAGAGGCAGGCATAGTCTGGGGGAGTCACGGCCAGTGCCAGGACACTGACCTCTTTAGGGGCTTCGCTGCAAATGTACTCGTCAAAGATGCGGTGAGCCCTGGTGGCCAGTTTGGTGGCTGATCGGATCTTCTTGAACTCCTCGCAGGCCAGCCAGAACTCCAGATTCTCCTCGCTGAACTCAGTCTTTAGGAAAGCATGGAAGGCAGCCACTCCATCTGGTGGTGAGGAGAGAAAGGAGACAGGTCAGATTAGGGGGCAGCTGGGAATGAAGGAAGACAAGCCAGCAATTGCCGCTAATGGCTCTATTTTTAGAAAGTAATTTTCCTGAACAAGGCTCTGCCTTTGTGTTCCGAATGGAGGCTGACACACTGGGGGACCGGGATTATTATTACTACTACTATTATTTTGCCCGTGGTTTTCAGCATCCCTGGGACAAGCTCCAAGCACGTGAGCACACACGTGCCTTCCACAGACAGACAACAGGGTCCCACTTACTCTTGCTGCTCAGCAACAGATCAAAGGACTCTCTCCATCCCAGAACATCTTCCGAGAAGCTTCTGCCAAGAGAAGGGGAAAGAGCAGAGATTTTTAAATTAATTTTTTAAGTCAAGAAAGGCATCCTAGGCAGAAGCTGACGAATATCAAAACCAACCCCTCAAACTCATATGCCGTCAGAGTAGCAATGTTATGTAATAAGCAACTGGGCATCCAGCGGCTGATGCCAGGGGACCTTTAGTTCTCAGCCAGTATCCCTAAGGCTCCCTCTTCTGTAGCCAAAAATGATTCTACTCCCCAGATTCTTGGCTTTGATTTGCACACCTCTCCAACGAAGCTGGAGCTTTGCAGAAATTCTCCCTACAACCCCAGAGCCTAGCACACCACCTGTACTGCTGGTGTTCAGTTAAAAGGAGGATGGGGGGCTTTCGGGCAAGGTGCTCTCTAAATGGAAGCAGACCCTGTCTTAGCCCTGTGGTCAAACGCAATGGCATCTCCAGATTAAAGTCCTGTAAACAGGAGAGCATGTCCTGCCTGCAGGCAGCTTCTGCCGTCCGCAAAACCCGGCCTCCACCAACTGCTCCATGGAACTGGGAAGCCACAGTACAGCAGCGGTCTCTCTAAAATTTCCAGGGAGGGTGGCTTAGGCCCACTAGCCTGTCTCCTCTTATTTTCCCTCTCAGGTTTCCTCCCCATCTAGAACCCCAGGGCTGGCAAAAACAGGACTTACCTCTCTTTGCTATGTTTACTGGCCCACTCGAACTTGTTAACACCTCCAGTATCGGAGCTCAGCTCCGATTTATGGAGAAAGATCCCCAGACGCGTCTTGAACTCTTTGGCTCTGAAAGACAAACCATGAGCACGTAAGGATTCTGTTTGCTCTGCCAGCACAGAGAAGTTTGTGATGGGGATGGCGGAGGAGTCCCACAAGAACTCACTCCACCACCCGTAGTTCAGTTTCAGAAACTTGAGTACACCCGACCATTCCCCAAAGCCCTAGAAGCTTTCCTCACTAGCGTCTTCAAAGTCTAGGCTACAACAGCAGCGCTCGAGTTGTGCCCTGATAGGTCTTAACACTTTGGGGGCTTTAAGGTGCTGCAGTCGCTTCCCGCTGACCCCTCTACCCAACTTTCCAAGCCTGCCGGTCGGTAGATTCAGGACTTTCTCGTCGGGATAGCTAAACAAACTCACTCTTCTTACCTCTCCAGGCAGGAGTTGGGGAAGGTAGCCAGGGTGCGGCACATGGTTGCGGGCGCAGGACAGCAAGTCGTGGGGAGGATAGTGGTTGGCTCCGTAGGCCACTGGAGGACGAAGAGGAAAAAGCGAGGCTGTTGCAAGTACCGGACTGCGCAGATGGGGTCCGTAGAAATGCACGCGCCGGGATCACGGCCACCAAGGATCTTTATCCCCGAGAGGCGGGGCGGGGCCGGGAGTCGCTGGCCAATAAGAAACTGGTGCCGAGTCTTGCGAGGGAGGAGGCGGGGCGGGGAGCCTGACAGGGCGGGGCGCGACTGGCAGCCCCCAGGGCCTCCTTCCCAGCGCACGGGGCTGTCCCTACCCCTGAGGTCTGAGACTTATGGTGCCAGGAGAGGAGGAAGACTTGTGAAGACGAGACGCACACCCACAGATTGCCAGGGCGGAAAAAAGCCGTCGACCTCTAGTAAAAGCAGGAAAAAACGATTCAGAAGTGTCAGAGAGGTTTTGTGGGGGTGGCGGGTCCCGGTGGCACTTTAAGAGATCACAGGAGAGACTGAGTTTCTAGGGTAACAGGGGACTGGAGCACAGGGTGCATCACAAGAAAAAGTACATCACCGTTATACCGAGCAGGCACCATTCTATGTGTTCCAAAGTTGACAGGAGCTAAGTGAGCTGTTCAGCCCACCGCCATCACCTCCATTTAGCAGATGAAGGATCAAAGGATCGGAAAGCGAGAGACTTGGCCAAGATCAGGGTTGGGAACAGCAGGCATAAAGGAAAACATTTATTTAACACAATTATAACAGAAACCTTTGCAACGATGCTAAAAAGGTTTAATTGCTCTGAGTTCTATAGTTATAGGGTAAATATTAGTGCCTGAATTTATATTTGAAAGCAAAAAGCAAGCAGAAACAGCTCTGTAACTGGCGAGGGATCCTGAGGCTAAGCCGCTTCCATTCAGTGCCCTCATCTCTGAGCTAATGCTAATAAATATGAGCTGTTTCTCATTCTCCCATAAAGGCGCCAGTCTTCCCAGTTGTCCCTCGGTTCCCTCTGAGGTCCCATCTACGAGACAGCAGCTGAGGTTAAGGGTAGATATTTGTGGGGTTTCAAATCCTGGTTCTCTCGTATCCTGATGAGAGACCTTAGGCACACTTCATCTTTCCAAATGCTTCCCTTTGTGTCTAGGGTTTAGACAGCACTACATTTATTGCATGAGGTGCTGTGGGGACTCAGGAAGGTTTCTGTTGCCTGGACTTCCCCAGGAAACATTCTTCAGCAATGGCACGTATTGTGGGGGGAGATCCGAACTGGGAGGGAGGACAGGCAGTGAGGACAATGGGAGTGATGTCATACCATTTCAGGAGACCCCCAGAGGGTCTTCAAGGATGTTCTGGGCTTGTGTTGGACCTTTCCAGATGTCTACTTCCGAAGCCAAATAGCAGGCCCTAACCTTAACCATTTATTGGATGCTGCTGGACCGAGATGGCCTGACCTGGCGCCAGGTGCCTCCTCTGTCAAGAACAACAATCAAAAGCATGCCACAGATGGTGGCCACAGCCAGGAGAAGGAGACCTGGGTGCTGTGCCAAAGTACTCACATCAGCATGTAAGGTGGTTGGAGCAAGACTTAGCACGTGATCGGCTCTCTATATCGTGTTTCAGTTTTACTTAGGCCGGAATTCTAGACAGTCAGGAAAATGGTGTTTTAGAATACAGATTTCCAGACTGAGGGGCCACTGATAGTGACACTGGGAATTGTCTCTACTGCATGTACCGGCTTTTAGGTATCCTCTTCCCTATGGATGTAAACCTTGCTTAACCTAGATGTAATAGGGAAGGCCTTGGACTTTCCACAAGGTGGAGTGCACTGTCCTCTCTTAGGCTTGGAGGGGGTGAGGAGGGAGGCTTTTTGGAGAAAGAGGGAGGGGAGTGGGAGGAGGGAAGCGAGTAGGAATTTGGGGGGGAAAAGTTTAAATGAATTTTTTTTTAAAACTTTATAATTCAGAAGTATATTTCTAGCTATATTTTTATAAGCTTAAATGAAAATAAAAGTTCCATAACCAAAGAGAAAAAAAAAAGAATACAGATTTCCATCTCATAGGGGTCATCTCCAGAGTTACAGTCTTCAGCAAGGCCTGCCCTGTGCTCCGTGATGTAAAAGCGCAAGGGAGGAGTGGGGGAGTGGCCTGGAGATGCAGCTCAGTGGTGAAGCATTGCCTAGCATGCACAAGACCTTGGATTTGGTCCCCAGAAGAAGGATAAGGGGAAAAAAATAGATAGATGAGAAGAAAGAGACAAAGATGTTCTAACCTGAGAGAGCTGAAAAAAGTGAAAGGGGGGGAGGAGAGGGAAGGCGGGAGGGGAGGTCTATGAGCTAGTAGTGTTGAGGGGGTTAAGACCATAGAGTCCAAAGTTAGACACAATGTGGGACAATTGGTCGAAAAGACTCTGTCCTTGGGTCCTTGAGAGGTTAGTCAATATAGTGTACTCTGGGCTGTTTGAAGCCTTTCCCAAGCTACCACATACTCAATGGGGAACCAAGGCAGATAGGGCCCGGCAGTCCTTCCAGTCACACTTCTAGTTCAGAAGTAGTCAACACCACATCCACAGGCTCATCTCGTCAGCCTCAGCTCTTGCGGACTTCCTACCTCACAGCCCCAGGGCTAGACAGGTGCTGGGCCGCTGTGGCGTGTAGGCAGCGTGGGAGAAGACAGTGTGCCCTGTAGAGCAGATGGGGGTCTCAGGCCTTCAGTCCACATGGTGTGGCCCACCATCCAGCCTGCCAGGAGCACCTCCTAGTTTTGAGGTAGGGGTGCTCAGCTGAGTTCAGGGTCTCGCTTTGCTCGGAGCTCCTTGTGCTCCTCAGACAGACTTGTATCTCACCGCTGCCAGGCGTAGATGTGTTATCCATGGCACAGCCGTGATCCGTGTGACAAAGGGGGAGAAACTGGTTACGGATGAATCAAACCCTAGTCTCACCTGCATTCTTGCCCGGATTTGAATCAGCCCAGACAGAGCCACGTGACAATAATACTGATTTCTGCAGACTCCTCCCATACTCCCGGCCCCTTCTGCATTCCCTGTGAATAGGCCACGGGAGGCTTTTAATTTCCATTTTGCAGGCAGGCAACAAAACAGCAGTGCCCGAGGTGCCCTTCATTAAATGATCCAGACTGGAAAGAGCTGAAGCCAGGGCTGTCTCCAGACTCCTGAACTAGCATGTTCTAGTTGACAAAGCAAGCCCAGACAAAGGGAGTGATGCGCAACGCGGAGACAGGCAGATCTGAGCACACACAGCTCCCTGCTGAAGATGGAGAGCCCTCCTCAGAGTTCAACCTGCCTCCCAGTTGCCATGGTTACCTCTCCAGTTTCCAGGCAGAAACTTTTTGAAGTTCACAATGTATCCCAAATTCTCTTCCCAGCAGGTCAGTTCCTATCTGTGATTTCAGAAATGCGGCTGACTCCACAGTTGCTGTGAATCTAGCCGGTTGAATTCACTTGTGAATTGCTCTGGCTTTGACAAAACCTGACCTCATTTTTTTTGCCCAGCATGTCTAACACAGCTGCCATCCCTTTAATGGAGGCCGTGGAGACAACAGTTTTGTGGCCTGGGTCAGCTGGGATCAGCAATCTGGGCAAAGCTGAGGTCAAGATTAACTATCCCACGGGGTTCAGCTCTGCCCTCCTTTATTTCCATCAGCCCCTGTGGTGCCCAATACTACCCTTTCTGTGGTACCAGAAGTCCAGAGAGGAGCTTTTTCTATTGTAAATGGTGTGGTAGTGAATGACTGTAATCTCCTAACACACACACACACACACACACACACACACACACACACGAGATCCCCACAGTGCCCTGGATCCTCTAAATTGAAAAATCAGTCTCCCCATAAAAAATTATTTAGCATTTACTGTATTCTCAAGTCAGTGGGGAACAACAACTTGTTAGACGCTTCCCTTACCATCAGGGTTTTGTAATTTAGGAGCTAGGAAAATGGGTTGGTGGGTAAAGTGCCTGCTTCACAAACATGAAGACCTGAGTTTGGGTCCCTAAGGCCTACCTAAAAAGCCAGGTGCTGGCCACATGGCTGTAATCCCAGGGCTGGCAAGGGAGGGGTGCAGGGTTATACTGACAGAGACAGATGGGTCCCTGGGGCTTGTTGGCCAGCCAGTCTAGCTAAAACCCAGGTTCGCATTAGGAAACAAAAGTCCACCCCTGGAGGAATTAGGATGTTGGACTCATCCTTCTGTCCCGTGATTCTGTCTCCTGTATCCTCTCCCTGCCCGCCCCCGCTTATTTGCTTGCTCCTTTCCCTCCTCACCGCTCACATTTTCCGCTTTTCGGCCCTTGCCCTAAGCTGAAGTGTCATCACTAACTCTGGACTTTTTCTGCTTCCTCTCTTCCTGGTCCCTTGTGTCGACAATTCCCGAGTGTGGCTGTGGAAAGCCCCATTCCCTGCTTAATCCTCCGTCCCTCTATTAATCTCTGAACCCTGAAGTCCCCGACAATCCTTCCCAGCCCACACTTTCCCATCCCCCTATTTACTCCTAGAAGATTCTCGCTCCACTTGGGAGGGTGTCCAGGGTTAGTGTTCCGTAGTCAGACCTTTAGCTTCCAAAGTCCTCGGGACAGGGATACATTGAGTCCTCCCTGCCCTCCAGGACCCTGGCCACTGCTAGAAGGAGCCCATCTCTCTGTGGTTATGCTTCCTGGGTTCTGGCATGTCGGTATGAGTCCTCATAACTACCTAGCGTGGTGTTTATGGTCGAGCACATTTGAGCTTGTCTGCCAAACTATGCTGTCTTCCTAACACCACAGTGGACCAGCCTCCTGCCTCCAGCCTCCTGAATTCCCGCTGACTACAGGGACCAGGTTTTCTGTCCCCTCCCCATGCTTGCGCACCCCATGCAAACACGCCTGCCCACCACCCTGCCGTTGTAGTGCTGCATTCCCTGGGAGGCCAAGTCAAGTTGCATCTGCAACCCCACTTAATCCTAATACCGCCCTTTACAAACTGGGAGAATTACCTAAGAGTTTCTAAACACCTTCCTCCTCGTCATTGTGGCTCCCCACACCTTTCCTCTTCCCTGTCACAAACGTCCCTCTTCCCTTCACCAAGACTCAGAGATGAACTTTAGAGAACTCTACATTTTCCTCGGGTAGACATTTTCCAAGACCCCGAGAAGT